AATTTAGTTCTAAACCTTTTTTTGGTATCAATTCAGTCCTCAACTTTTTATATTTATGCCAATTTAGTCCAAAACCTTTTTTTTGTGCCAATTCAATCCTAAACCTTTTGCATTTGTGCTAATTCAGTCCTAAACATTTTGTATTTATGTCAATTCAGTCAAATTGGCCGGATTTTACTGACGTGGACGTCGGCTGGCCGGCGGCCGGTCACCGGCGCTGACGTAGATAACTTTTAATAATATTTTAATATTTTTTTGATTTTTTTCTTTTCTTTTTTTTCTCCTCCCCTCCCTCCTTCCTCCAGCCGGTTGCTGAACCTGCGACCTGCAAAAGGCCAGAGGCTAGCGAGGTCGACCTCGCCGGCCACTATCGAGGCTCGCCCTTGCCAGCGATAGCGAAGGCGAGCCTCGCCATGGCTAAGCGAGGCTGGACATCATCAGATCCAGCGAGGTCGTGCCTCGCCCAGCCGTCGGCGAGGCTTGACCTCGCCAGATTCGGCGAGGTCGGGCCTCGTTCAACCATGGCGAGGCTCACCCTCGTCCACCCAGTGCAAGGCCACCCTTGTGGCCATCCGGCGAGGCGACCTTGCTGGCCTCTGGCTGGTCGCCGGTCCGGCGATCAGCTGGAGGAAGGAGGGAAGGGAGGAAAAAAATAAAATAAAAACAAAAACAAAAAAATAAAAATTCAAAAAAATATTAAAATATTATTTAAAGTTGTTCACGCCAGAGCCGGTCGACGTCCACGTCAACAAAATCCGGCCAAAATTGGCCGAAATGACTGAATTGACACAAAAACAAAAGGTTTAGGACTGAATTGGCACCGATACAAAAGGTTTAGGACTGAATTGGTACTAAAAAAAGGTTTAGGACTAAATTGGCACCAATGCAAAAGATTTACGACTGAATTAGCACAAAAAAAAGGTTTAGGAGTAAATTGCCATCAATACAAAAGGTTTAGGACTTTTTTAACACTTTTCCCATTATTATACTATAATATGGCCCAGTAACCTCTAAATTAGTTTTTTTTTTTTTTTGGTCAACCTCTCTAAATTAGTTTGGCGACAAGATCGTTTGTGCTCTGGTTCACATATAAGTGAGACTCTTGAAGAAAAATTAATTGGGAAATAAATAAAGAGCACGCTTTACTTTAGCTCTCTTTCATACGGTGACCTTTTTGATGGCAAGATGGCAACTCCATCGACATCAAGATGAAGGTTCTTGAACACACACAAAAGAAGCCTTTAGAAGTTTACAGAATGGATGACTAGGATTATCTATTCCTCAACAAAATCGAAGCTTGTAGAATAAGAAATTAGGTGAAGGCTGCTAGGAGACATCGTCGGAAGAGAACTAGAAAGTTGTGTGGGTAAAGATTACCATTCACTAGTCACCCCTTTTGATAATCTTTTGACCATATTCTAGAAATCAATTTGCTTGGGCGCTTCAAAGTTCACACCCCTCATCCGGCTTTAGAGAGCAATGGTGGAGATGAAACTGAAAAATGTTGTGATGTTTAGAGTTTTCAAATCAGCTACTTTGTCTATAATTATGCTCATTTTGATTCTAAATGAATTCCACGGAAATTAGAGGACAAGTTGAGTGTCACGGTTCATTCTAAGGGAAGAACATCTGATTATAAGAAAGTTCGGCTACCATTGGGGTCAAATGCTCTCGTAAGGTTTAGACCTTTCAAATCATATGATTTACTTATAATTATATTGTTTTGGATTCTAAAAGAACTCCAAAAAGATTGGAGCACAAGTTAAGAGGCTACGTTCATTTTATAGGAAGAACATCAAATTCTCAGAAAATTTCACTACAATCAGGGCCGAATGCTTAATTTTTTGAGGTTTAGAGTTATCTAATTTACTTATAAGTGTACTCCTTTTGATTTTAAAGGACCTCCACAAAGTTCAGAGTACCAATAACGTCCAATTATAGTGTTTTTTTTAAACATGTAAATTGTGATTGAACACCTAAGAAAAATCCATAATATCATTATTTTACGTATAACTAATTCGTACGACATTCTCCTGTTGCTAGCATTGTCTGGTGTTGAATTGATGCTTGAACTTACATGACTTGAAACCATTCCTAATCCACTAGAGTTGGAGGCGGCAGATGTCTATCAAAAACAAAGTGAAAAAAATGAAAGATACTTCAGTTGTAAGGCAAAGGCTTTTGACCTTTGATGACTTTTCCAGTGTCATCTTGATCCGGGGTAACCATTTTAGGAGAAAATTGTCCAATCAACTTTAAATATATTGTACGGATGTCAATTCAGTTCTAAATTTTTCGATTTTATTAATTTAATTCTAAACATCTGTAAACAATTCCAATGTAGTTCTTTCGTTAAATTTTCATCGGAAATTACTGACGTGGAAGTCAGGTCATCGCCGGCGGTTGTGTGATAAATGTGATTTTTTAAAAGTCAAACAGCAAAATTAAACCTTAAACATGCGAGAATGATCTCAAAGTGGGTCTAAGGAGATTAGTTAGATTCACTTTTCTTTTGATAATGCTTTGACTTTAACACAGGCATTTACATTTCTAGCTAGATAGAGAACAAGTGGCACGAAGATAGAAAGCAATTCCAAGCACTTTTCTCTTTGGGCAGACATTTCTTAGTATTTGACTGACCGACCTTAAACGCCGTTCGGTTGAACTAGAAAAGAATGTGATGGTCAAATAAGGAAGACATTTTGACCCAAAAAAAAAAAACTGAGGAAGACATAATTGGCCAAAGAAAAGAAGTTCGAAGATTCAGGAGTGGCTGCTGTCGATGGAATTCCAGAATCAACTACCAAATGAAAGGTCATCATAAAAGACTACATCTTTCGCCTATTTTGAATATAAAAGATGTTTATTTTATACACAACAGAGACGGATTAAACGTAATTAGAATAATGCAGGATATTTGAAGATAGTATCAAGAAACCTTCTCCGAGAATGGAATACAGCCTAACCTTTTAAGGGATAATTAAGTGATCTTGGGCCTTGCTTGGATTCGATAAATTTCACGTCCAAAAGTCGTGCCATATTCTAATCAGTTACAGGTCATAAATAGATACTCTCACGTGAGCGTAATCTTTTCTTATATAGGTGAACAGATGAGTGGATACTTGTGTACATTTATGAGAATTAATTTTTAGTCCAAGTCATAATAAAAAAAGGAAGAAGATTGAATATAGCCTTCTTCGACATTTCTTGAAACAAGGTAAAGAAACAAGAGTGCGTTGGGCGAACACGGATGTTCACCTCGCATTGATCAACATGGATCTTCTCCCTAACTAGATACCTACAAATTTTTTTTTTGGTCGAAGATACCATCCGACTCATATTACTAAAACACTTTTATATTTAACTAAATATAGGAAAACTTGTTTCTTATGACTTTTTTAAAAATTATACTACTAAAACATTTTCATACAATACAATTTTTAATTATTTTTTTATTTTATTAATTTTAATATTTTTAATATTTTATTTTTTTAAAATCTAATATTTTTTTTTTTCTTTATTTTCGAGCTCGAGGTGGCGCTGAAAACAATGAATCCACTCAAATATATTTAATGTACTATCAACCAGCCTAAAATAACGAAAAAAAGAAAGAAAAAAAAAAAAAAATAAAAATAAATTTGATTTTAAAAAATATATTTTTATAAAAGGAGTGGGCTTAATGGGTGGGTTGGAAATGGGTTCCACACTTAACCCATTATGACCCATCTGTGATAAGCTTAAAACTTTGAGACCATTTAAGATGAGCTTTCAATGAATCCGCTCAAATATATTTAATGTCTTTCGAATTGGCATCGTGTTTTTCTATGAACACCCGACGACTGAACTAAATTCAACTAATATTGAGAGGCAGTGAAGCATAGCATTTTCCCCAGGAGAAGAAGAACCAAAACATTTTGACCTGATCTAGGAGTTTGGAGCTCCGGAAGATGGATGGAGCAAGGATCACGATTGACTCTTCACATGACCAAATCATGTGCCGGTATGTTCTCCTAGACCAGCACGCGTCGCGAAATGGCTAGAAAGACACGGACTTTAAAAAACAGTACCCATCTCAACATATTTTCTACCGGCCGTATGTTCTTTGCAGGACGTCTTTCGTGTTGAGGAAACCGAGTCTGAATAATCCTTTTGTTAATACGTGCCTAATTAGTGGAGTTGATGCCTACTCTCCATCGCTGAGTAACTTGAGTAAATTAAACTATTGTCAGTGCACCTTTCTTTTTGTAATAACTCTTTGTTAGTGGCATGCCAAGTTGATATCATCACGGAGCGTGGGAACCTGGCGGCGAGTGGCAAAGAACACCTATTATCTTTCTTTAGGGTCACGAGTTCAAAGTATGATAGGCTCGCAAGTGAATTCTGATGTAAAAGAGTGCTCTTCATGTCGATACGTCTGTCGGGCTATAGTGTCAAGCTTGTTCATTCTAAGGCGATAGCTAGCTAGTTACGACTTAAATCAATCACTTTGTAGCAGGTGTGAGATTCCTATCATAACTCATAAAGAGAATTGATGCGATCGGTCTCCTCTTTCATCCATTTACCTAAAAAGAAAAATCTTGACAAGTATGTAATGCGCGATCTTTTGATTTTCTGTGCATTTAAGATATAATAGTTTATCAAGAAACTTTAGATCCGACTGTAAATATGGTGAAGACGAGTATGGGTGAAATAACTAAGGAAGCTTTCTTATAACATTGATTTACAAATGTCACTCAATGAAATAAGACCTTTTGTGTGAATTTTCTCCATAATGTTGGGTACTGTAAAGTTTAGATAATTAGGCTATGCGGCTAAATTCGGACAATTTATTGCTTGATTTTCGAAGAAATGGTAATTTAAACCTAATATTTCTAAATTAGTAATTAATGAAATGTCAATTTTATGGATCTAATTCCCATATTGAATAGTCTACCCAAAAAAAGAAAAAAGAAAAAATAAAATAAAATAGTCAGATATTCAAACGAACGAGAACATGTTCGCGTCGCTCTCGTTCGTCCATTTTCGCAACGAAGGCCCAAAAAACTGCAAGAATCACAGTCAACCTTATCTCGCTGCATTTCGTCATACAGATTGGAGGCAATCCAGAAATGCATCGCCACGCGCGATAGAGATCCAAGATCTCTCGATCCCTTTGCTTGCGATACAATGCCTCGGATCTCTCTTGCTGCGACTGCTGCTCTTCTTCTTCTCCAACTCTCCGTTGCGCCGATCGCTCGAGTCAGCTCGCACCAGGAATCGGGCGAGGGGAGCTGCGAGACCGAATCGAAGGTCCGAATCGAGGCCGGCTTCAAGCCCGGAACCATCACTCTGGATGGGCACGGCGACGATTGGAAGGACATCGAGGGGTCCGAGTTTTCCCTGCTCCCGGCGCTCGACCCAGACGATGACAAGGAGTACGGCGGTGGGAAAATGATCGTCAAGGTGGGTGCTCTCTGCCTTTTCTTCGTGTTCTGTTGGCCGTCGAGTTTGGTGGGTTGATGAAGCTCGTTCGGATGGTGTGGCAGGCTGTGCACGATGGGACTAGTGTGTTCTTCTTGCTGCAGGTTGATGGGAACTATGTTTACTCTAAAGGGTGAGCTTAAATTTTGATGCAATTCAAAGCAGTGATTCTGTTGAGCGGTGCCTGGTGATGTCCTTTCTTTTTCTCCTTTTGTTGGAGTTACTGTTTTGTTCCTCGATTCAGCATCGTTAGTGACGGTGTCAAATCTTGCGAGTAAGTGGGAATCTGAACTCGCTTTTGTGGCCACGACTGGATACATGATTATGTGCTTGAAAATATTGCCAAACTTGTTGTGATGCATTGTCTCAGTGAGCTTGGGTCCAGTCCTTTTGTTCTTTGTTTAGATTTTAGCTGCACCATGTATCTTTTCGCGTGTTATTTACCACCACAATACAAGATCAAGGCCGACTTAGCTAAACACTTAAACTGTTAAATGATGAGTGGTTTATATCTAAATGCTCTGACGCGTCTCCTATGCGCTGGCTTGGTTTTTGCCTAAGACTGATGTGTGGAAATGGGATTATTTACACGCTTTCATTTAACAACTTAATCCTTGAGATCAATTAACATCAATCTCACAAATATTACCCAAATAAAGGATGCTTTCCAGAATGAGATTCCACATTCTCTTCTTTTCATTGAAGTCCTATCACGGAAGATTTGGATTGACTTGATTTTCCTTCTGACAATGCAGGGAGAGCCCCAAATGCCCCTCAGTTGCTCTAATGTTCCAAATTGGTGAAAGTGCCTCCTATCATAATGTAATTGTTGTTACTTTTATTGAAGCTTCCTACATTTTGCCCCCTTCCCTGATGTATGTGATTTAAATTTTCGATGTTTTTGCATCATCTGTGGATGTTAGTTATACTCAGGTGTGCAGCTTCCTTTGGAACTGAATCTACCTATGTTTATGTTAAAACTAGATGGGCGGGTGTAAGGAAGGAACTGATACGTGCACAAACAAAACATGCAAAGGCCATGAAGTTGACATCATGCACTTTTCAATTGGGAATGCCATTCCTGGGCGACTTTATGGTGGAAATCCAATAGACAATGGAGAAGGAAATGGTGGTGACAGGTGACATGCTGCAATTTTTTTATATTTTGACCTTCTTAAAAGTGCCACATATTCCTTAGTTGGATTCTTGTGAACCAATAGATAGTTGCTGCTGTTATATGAAATCATTTGCTTGCTATCAACAGATTCGGCCATCTGGTCGATCTTTATTCTTGGAGCCCACATTGTAGATACATTGATGGAACTGGTCCTACAGGTATGTCATCAATTTTGCAGCTCACTTTCCGTTTTCTTCCCAATACTAAGAACCACCACCGTAACTTCTAGTATTGGTTGGGTTTGCCTGCATGGATGCTTTGTAGCCATTGTACTCTATTTGATTGCAAATTCCGATTAACTGAAGATCTCTCTTCACATAATGCATTTATGCAGTTTAAGTTCTTCTACACAACTTACATGTGGCTGTCACCCGGTTGCATATTCTCATTAGGGCATCCCATGATCGCCGTCTCAAATGAATTTCTCGTGTCCTCTATTCGGAGCCACGTGACTCTTCTTCAAGCGCACCCATTTCTGCTGTCTTTTCTTGAGTGAACAGCTTGACCCCGTCTCCAAATCTTCCGTGTCTTTGTTAAACCATTACCTTTTGGTTCATGATCGTGCAATATGTTCTTATAATCAGTATATTGCATTATTGTCTTGTGGACTGTGCCCTTTAACTTAAAAGAATCTTGCGATTGCACGAGATATCAAATGTGTGCTGCTCCACTTCATCATCCGCTTGTATTCTATTCATAACATGTTCATTCAATTCTCCCTTCTTTTGCAATCAAGAGACCATGATCACCTGCTTTTTGGTTACTTGTTTATCTAATTCTTTTTTGGTTGGGGCCATAGCCTCCATTTTTTATTATTGTTCTTTTGGTCTTTGAATTTTCAGTCTTGGTACTTTGTATTTGACTGAGTTAAAGAAAAGTTGGATTATGTTACCCAAACCATTTTCAAAAGCTTAAGCTGTTAAATAACAGGTTCTCGATATCTTTGAGCATATTCTTATGATTCCCCTGCATTTGTAAGTTGTGTTTTTATGTGAATTTCAAGATGTGGATGTAACCGCATTGAACGGACAATTTGAGGTAATGAAAAACAGAATGACAATGCTAAGAAATAGAAAAAAACAAAAGAGGGGCTCTATGATGATTCAGACTCATGACTTGGGTTCCTGATATCATGTTATACATCTTAGAAATTCAAACTGTTGGGAAACGGGTCCACAATGTATATAAAATTAAAAGACTCCAAAGTTTTCGTCCATAATATTAGTTTTCTATGTTCGTTTTGGATATTCATCTTCTGCCACTATAGCATTGGCAGAAGGCAGAATGGGAATGTTACCCGAGATACTCTTGGTAAGCTCATTTTACAGGAGCATAGAGCAACTGAGTGTTGCTGATAGATCCGCTTTTCATAGTTGTTGCTTTTATTGTGCCACGGCTGACATTCTCAATGAGACTGCTTCTATTGTTAACTTATAGAGCATATTGGGGAAGGCAGGGAACAAATCATAAGGGTCGTGTGTGGTGAATGAGGGCATCTGTTCTATGGAAATGAGGGATAGATATTTGCTATCGCTTAGAAGATAAGTTCAGGGATTCTTTATCTTTGACAAATGATGTTGAGTTGGATTTTGTTACATTTGTACCATTTTTTAAGTTTGTGGCAGATAGAACTGCACCACTGACGTAAGGAATCCCTAGTTTTCTCCAATTAACCATGGAAAATAGAAGGATAGATCTTCAAGCCCTGGCAGGTCCATGTGATTCCTCGCACAAAGATTCGTAAATAAACTAGCATCAATCCATTATCTCCAGTGCCATCAATGTTTTTGTAGCTTCCAAAGTGTGTGTGAGTGCCTTGGTTCTTTCCACTCAATTCCCACGCTGATTCTAGATAAATTGGCCTTCTTGTTACCATTTCCTTGCATATACCAAAAACTAAAACAAATTCAATAAAAAATGGTTAACTATGGGTGGCTTTCGTGAATTAGATTCTAACTGATTGGTGCTCTGTTATTGCGCAAAACAAGTGCTGTCCATTTCTTTCAGAGAAGTGGTGCGGAATACTAATGTGCGTATAGCTCAAGCATTACTTTTTTAATAAATCAAATAAAGCTACTCACTTGTGTCGATAGGCGACAAAGGAAACCCCGGGGGGTAGAGAAGGGGGAAAGGATACCAGATAATTCAATGATCTTTGTCGATTCATATCTAATGGCATGTTAGTATGTAACTTTTCATGAGTGCCTTAAGGGAAAGGTTTCCTTTTTTCAGTGCAACTGGGGAACTTTCCAGGCATCCCTGCTTTATGTGCTTGACTGAAATTACTTCCTACTTTGCTTCTTGGTCCCTTTGTCCCTCTTCCCCTCAAATTAGTAAGAAACAGTAGGAAGAGACTAATGAACATGCCAACCTTTAATTTTTTTTTTCTACAAAGATAAGAACTAAGAAGAGATTAGGTCACTAATACTTGACTTTTGGATTGGTTTCTGTCAGGGAATGACTCCAGCGGGCTGAATGACTGGAATGGAGCATGGTGGCATAGCAGCTTCACTGTTCACTCAGGTAGTTCCCTGATTAATATTTTGGTATTCAGTTGTATATGCCTCCCCCAACTTTCTCCCACTGCTTAAACCAAGCTTTCCAATCTCAATTGGCCCCAAGTCTACTCTGTATTGCCTAACTAAGATGAAAGGCATCCTGAGCTGAGATTGTGTAGTGTTGGGAAGTTCTAGTTCTAAACACAGATGAAGCTGAGGCACTGTCTGCTGCGACTTTTTATAGGTCAAGCTTAGAGTTGATGAAAACTAACCTAGACTTTTGACAGTTCCCTCTTATGTATTGGTTGAGATGAGTCTGTGCACCATACTTTCTCATGTTTACCATGGCTGAAATTCTCTATCAGGTTTTGTGGAGGAAGACAGTCCATATGCTTCAGATGGTCAGAAGGGCACATATTACTTTGAGTTCTCTAGGCCTTTGCGAACTATGGATCGAATACAACAGGTTAGAAACCGATTGTTGATTCGGATGTTATGTACTGCAATATACCGGCACTATGCATCATGAGTATATCATAAAATTCCTTGTTATTACGATCAGATTTATCTAGAAAGTGAGACTATTTCAAAAAATTGTTAGTGCTGTGCTAAAGCGGGATGTCAGTTGACTACTTCTCTGTTAAATGCTAAGTATATAGCTGTTGGGTGCTTTGAATCTTTCAGGTTTGATTTGCAGAACATGTACTTGTATGATAACTCAAAATTTTCTGCCGAATTCAACTTTGTAAAATGCTTGGTAGCTCTGGTGTTTGATTTACCCCGTGCTGAAAACTTTTGAAGTGTCTAGGAGATACCTCTTTGTTGCTGAACATACTGAGACCATCTTTTTCTGCATGATAGTATACCTACTGGATGTTACTATCCAAGGAATATTTATTCTTTAGATCTATTAGCGTCCTATTGCCACATCTGCTATTTCATTCAATAATTGTGCAAGCATAGTGAGCATGCACTATAACAAGGATATAATGTAACTCGTCATACCTGACTTATGCAGGATGCCCAATTCACAATAGGGGGATCAAGCAAGATGTCAGTGGCATTCTGGTATCCTGTCAATGGGAACCCATGGCATGGGTCGGGGCACTTCTCCATCAACTGTGACTGGGTACCTCTGGACATATCATTAGGAGGCTCGTTCCTTACAAAGACGGCATCGCAAAGTTCATGGGATGCCACTACAGCCTTCTCCCTATTTTTGTCGGTCGTCTCGTTGTGTCTATCTGTATTCATGATGTACCGCGTCTTTGGACCTAGGAATGATCGATATAAACCCATGGAGGAAGTAGCTCTGGGGACAATAGAGTCGTAGAACAGTCCTGGCATTGTACTATTAGTTTGTACTTCTTAGATCAGTACCACTTCCTATAGCTCAACTTTGGTCGTCCTTTGTATGTCATTTTTTAAATGGAGATGGCTTGTTGGGTTGTGTCCTCCCTTTTAGTGGCGTCACCTCGGCCTCATGGTGGTGCGGCTTTTCACTTCTTTATTCCTTGTAAATTCATATGTCCATGCTGTTTTTTTTTTGTACCTTGAATATGGTCGGATAGAGGCATTACTGTCGGGTGTGTACTCATCAAAGACGAAATCTTTCTTAATAGCATTCATAACTGAACTCGGAGTTTGATAGCCTCCCTAAGTCCATTAAGCCGGATCTTAACATTTCCCGAACAAACTCAAAATGATACGCTCAATTTGAGACCAGAGTTTTCACCGAGCTTTGATTTCGTTAGACAGCGCACTGGAATCATTCGACTTTCTAGCAATTGATGCACCTGGATTCTCCTGTCAATTGTGCAACAAACTGCGATGTTCTTCCTTTGCACCAGAAATGTCACGTGGATGGGCATGTGGACTCCACTTCAACTTCACATCAATCAAAAGCAAAGTGAGAGAAAGTTCGATATTGGAGGGTGGGAGGACAGGCCATCGTCATGACGATCCCTTCTCTTCACTTTTCCGCCGCGCATCTCATCGAAACAAGAATCCGTCGCCCGTCCAGTTCAGGCCCAACCGATTTTCTATTCTGATCTTGCCCTACGCCAACTTGAACTCAGAAATATAGTTTTATACATCCGAGTTTGAACAAGCATCTAGACACAACAAAGACACCCTCCATGGACCTGGAGACTAGACGATTTCAAGGCATGTTTCAATACGATGGCCGAGATAACAATCAATTTCAACGCATCCAGACTGTTGATGCCCAGAATGGGAATCGCAAAACTCGGCTGGAGGTCTTGCTAGAAGATTGATCTGCACCGCAACAAACGGGTTAGGACGTTCGAGTTTTGGATTGGCTCTCTTATGTCTAAGTTAGCACTAAATTATGGGAAAACTAGAGGATGCGAAGCTTAAAGATGAGGAACGAGAATTTTTCTTGGAGAGAGAGAGAGAACAGCGTACTTGATATGTTACCGCTGGTTGATTGTAGAATAATATTGGACGGGTGATGGCCTGTGATTGACAAGTGATGCAAGGTTTGACAAATGACATTTACACCATCTCAGGATCAACGCATCTCCAACACTTCAAGTTGTGGTCGCACATGGTACTGCGGTGATGTATTGTCAAGAATGTCCTGTTGGACGATAAGATGTTATCGTCGAGCCAGGTTACCAAGACCCGATGCTGGGGTCCTAACATGTGTCGAGAGCGAATTGGTTAATAAAAATCATATTCATCGCTTTCCCCCAACTCTTCATCTTTGTTCTGGGCCTTAATATGAGGCGTACAGAGGGAGTTAGGAAGTCATCGTCTCACATTTCGGGCAGTTAGATCCAGTAGTCCATATCTCGCCATGAATTTACCTATATCTCACATTCTCGTAATTTTATGTCATCTGTAACGGAGTGCAGCTTCCTTTGGAACTGAATCTACCTATGCTAATGGTTTAACTAGATAGTTGCCGCTGGTATATAAAATCATTTGCTTGCTATGAACAAACTTGGCCATCTGGTCGGATCTTAATGCTTGGAGTCCACATCGTAGATACATTGATGAAACTGGTCTACAGGCATGTCTTCAATTTTGCTGCTCGGTTTCCGTTTTCTTCCCAATGCTAGAACCACCACCATTATAACTTCTAATATTAGTGGGGTTTGCCTGCGTGGGTGCTTTGTTGTCATTGTCCTCCATTTAATAGCAAATTCTCATAAATTGAAGGTAATTCATTTACGCAGTGTGTGTTCTTCTGCACAACTTACGTGTGGCTGTCACCAAGTTGCGTATTCTCATTAGGGCATCCATGATAGTCGTCTCGAACAAGCTTCTCTTGTCCTGATAGAGAGCACCTAAGTTTCCAATTTTGCGTTCGAGAGAAGTCCAGAGAGGAGCACCATCATCTCAGATGGCCACATGTCCAAGCTATAGCAATAAAAAAGATTGCCATCAGTAAGTGCATTCGTGTCATCCGTCTTTCCCATTCGCGAGAGAGATGTTAAAGGCTTCCTTCAAAAACCAGACCATTACTGCAGAAGGAATGGCGAGTCTTAAGGAATGTGAGGAAACTGTTAAAGGCTTCCTTCGAAAACCCAGTCCAACTCTTGAAGCACGAAGAAGAGAGCTTCACATAAAGTACCGACAGCAACACATTCATCCAATATGATATTGAATTCGCCAAGACCGCTCCTCTGCTTTCAAGGCCGGTTTTCATGACTAGAACCCAACAGATGAAGATATGCAGTAGAGGAGGGGTTCCCGAGCTTAGCACCATAGGGAAGACGATGTTCCGAGTCTGCAAGAACTTCACGAGGCATTGAAAAAGGCCGTAAGCAAAGAGGGACAGGATCGTGTAAGGTGCGTATATTCCCGCTTCCTATGCTATGCCTGCTTCTTGAACGACTGCTACTAATATAATTCTCGTATTTGCCCAGATGCAAGCAAGAGGGATGCTCCCTACTAGAAGGATGAACACAGCTCTTTGCATGAGAATACCGAGCATATGAAATTGTCTCGCCCCATATAATTAGCCGCAGAACGGATCCAATTTGCTGGCCATCCCATCCCCATCTAGTTAAAGAGATTCAACAGAAGAAAAATCAGAACTTCCCAAAAGGAGATTGACCGATATTCTTTTCGAAAACTAAAGTTTAGTCACTATTGTTTAAAATGACTCAATTTGTGGTAGAACTAAATTTCAACTCCGTTATCAATAGCGTCTCCAATGCAGTCCTAACAAATCTGGCTAGCCTAGCCAAATCATGGCCCATTTTTAGCACCAATTCTATTCTCTTCCGGTTATATAGCAAGTGAGACACGGTAATTTCATCATCTCCAGCTTTTGTTGTCTCTCCAGGGTGAGTAAATCTCAAACAAACTCGGTCAATGGAGTACTTATGAAAAACTGTTGGTGAATTTGGGCAACGAATACAGGACTAAAAGGGTAATCTTTGCAAACTCCGTTAAAATTGAACAAAAAGAAACAAATTGATCAGGAACAAGAACTTCCATAGAGCCCTGTCAGCAGCTAACGTGGTGTGAGTTTTTTATTCATATCTAATTAGAGCTTGACTTCCGACCGAAAAAAAAATTGAAGCTTGACAACTAGACACTGATCTGGAAGGGCCGTGCAAAACGGACTGCCCGAACTGGGAACCGCCTGGATTGGACCGAATCGACCGGTTGGGTCTAGTTCCCGGCTCCTAAAGTGGAATTGATGTCCGGGCGGTCTGGTTCTTGATCTTAAGCTTCTCCCTCATGAATATTGGGAACCTCACACGCGATATTTTACCTCTACATCAGGAAACACATTTTCCATCAAGGTTAGGAGCAAACCTATCAAAATCTAATTCTTCCCACATTGCTCCATTGTTTCCAAGGTCCTCGGTTCACCATCCCCTGACCATGATCTCATCATTGACTCGGACATTCTGACCCGACTTCGTAATCTTAAAATAATGCCAAATGGTTTGAAATTTCACTCTCAATTCCGAGAGTTTGTGAAAACTAGGAGACTCTATCTCATCCAGCCAGAGCAGTTAGACCCCATTCCCCAGATTCTCCTGGAGTCATTTGCTGAAACTCATACAGAGGTTTCTCACCAAATGTCAGCATCCTTTGTGGAAAAATGAAAACTTCTTTATTAAGTTGCCCTTAAATGCAAAGCTTTCGGGATAAGGATAGCACAAGTGCCATAACTTTCGTACAGCGCTCACTTGAGTGCCATAACTTTTTTTTTCGATCACTTGAGTGCCAAATCGGTGAAAAATCGTTTACTTGAGTGCCTATTCCGGCGAATTGTCCAACGTGGCATTTTAATTAAATTTTTACCACGACGTGGCTTTTTTAAAAGAAATATAAGTCCAACTTGGAAAATCTTCGATTGACATGGCAAGAAAGGGCAAAAACGACGTCATTTTGGCCTTTCTTCCACAAATTCATTTCAATGAAACCCTAATTTCTGGAAAGGGGCATGCTTTTGCAATAGGCTTGAGCGGCAGAAAGTTCAAAGCTTATGAGATAGCAAAGTGGGGATCAGTCGAATCGGCTTCGGTGAGATTGAGATGATGATGAGTGAAATAGCGCGATGCGAGGAGTTGCGCTTGATTGAGGGGAATTGCAAAGACATTGTTGGGTTTAGGACATGAATCGCCATGCTCTTTGCTGGAAACCTGCAAATCGCAGAGAAATAAGGTGATGGAGATGCCACATTGGCTGCATTAATGGAAAATCACTGGAAAATCACCGCCATCTAGCCAATACCTTTTCTTCTTTTTTCTCATTTTTCCCTCAATTTTGCCGACTCATCTTGTTTCCAGTTCAGCCCCCTTTGTGATTTTCTTTGACAGCTCCCTCTCTCAATTCACGTTTTTCCCCCTTTTTAAGCTCTTTGCCTGAACATCTCCTCCATCATTTTTGCCAAGTTCATGGTTTTGGCTTGCCAAAAACCCCTCCACCGAATTTACTCATTCTTTTTTTTAAACTATGGATTCTCGTGTGTATTCTCTTCGTCAATTGTACACTGATGTTGAATGACTAAACTTTATTGCTCAACCATGGAGAAGAACAGAGAGAAACAGAGGACTACTCTCTTCCCGTTTTTCTTTTTCTTTTTTTTTGGGTTTTATATATTTCTTTTATTCATAGGGCCAAAACGACGTTGTTTCATCTAGTTGTTGTTAATTGAATTATTTCCGACGAGCCATATCAGCCTATTTATAATAAATTAATGTCACGTTGGATTTTCCGACGACAGAAATCACCAATGGCACTTAAGTAAACGATTTTTCAAAATTTAGAACTCAAGTGATCGAAATTAAAGTTGTGCTGTTGTTATCTCGAAGCTCTCTACGCGGAAAAATGTGTTGAACAAGTTCGTGGGAAAAAGAGATTGGTTATCAACTACCGGCCTTTAAACTTGTTCCTTCTAGAAGACAAGTTTCCTTTGCCTAATAGGAAAACCCTATTCTCCAATCTGTCCAATGCAAAGGTCTATTCAAGTTCGACTTAAAGATAGGATCATGGCAATTAGGGATTCATCCGGAAGATGGACACAAGATAGCTTTCTGCATCCCAGGACAACACTTCCAATGGAAGGTCCTTCCTTTTGGATTGAAGACAGTCCCTTCGATTTTTCAAAAGGCCACGGGCAAAATCTTGCACCCTATCAGTTCAAATTCTCTTATTTACATTGATGACATCCTACTTAATAGTAAGAATGAGACATCTCACTGCAACCTTCTCTCCTAGTTTACTGACATGGTCAAGAAACATGGCATCATGCTCTCTCATAAGAAGATGAAGGTAGCCCAAACAGAGATATAATTTTTGGGCATACAGCACAAAGATGGTGCTTTCCAGCTTGGTGACCATATCGTTAATGCTCAGTTCCTAGATGAGAATCTTGTTTACAAACAAGTCTAGCAATTTCTTTGAATCATCAATTACTTGAGAGATTTTGTTCCCAAAATCACTAGGTATATGCATTCTTTGCAGAAGATATTATAGAAAGATCCACCTCCTTGGGATCCTCACAGACCGAGGCAATCCAGTCTCTCATACAGAAGTTACAATTTCTGCCCCCGTCACAAATTTACTCTAATGGAAAGAGAATCGAAAGATAATCAAACTGATGCCAGTGACAAAACTAGGCAGCAGTTCTCTTTGAAGAACAAGCAGACGACAAGAAAAGAATTTGTGGACGCAAAAGTAGAAGATTTTCTCAAGCTGAGATTTATTATCACTCCACCTTCAAAGAAATATCGGCTGCTAAGTATGGAATTAAGAAATTTAAATTCCATCTTATTAGTCATTATTTCCTTGTGGAAATGGACATGTCAATTCAAACAGAACACAATTCCACATCCTTAACTTCTCATATGGACGGAATGGTTTTATAAGTATTCATTTGAAATCAAACACATTTCGGGGAAAAAGAACGTGCTTGCTAATTTTCTATCGAGGCCAAATAAGTAGCTTCCATCAATATGTATGCCTCCAGAACAGCCAGTGGACGCATCAAGGCCTAACCAATGTTGCCTAAGTAGCAAGTTGAGAGTACCCCCAAGCATAATTGTACTATGGGTATATCAATGCAAGGTCTTCAGCAGGTGTGGGCGATTATGTATGAGTATACATTACATCGTGCAGAGTCCAACTTCTATAAGTAGTATTTGTAATTTGACGTGAACCATGGGATCAAACAAACAATCGACTTCTATAATGAGAGATGCTCAGATTTGCCATATTCTTTGTTATAGAGAGTATTCTCTAGTCTTTCCAAGGGAGTGTTTTGCCTTGCCTGTACATCCCAATTCCAAAATAAAATTTCAAACGGCATTAAGAACTAGTCCATAACAAGCATTGCATGAAAATTATTTCAAGCCTCAGAAAGCTCGATGAATCTCTACATCCCAATTCCGAGCTCGTCTTCTCCCAAAGCTTTCGCAAGTCACACCACACATCGGCGTCGATGAGACAATCTGGAAAACAGATGATTTCTATTCTCAAAATTCTCAACCTCATGTTGATGACACATAGAGAACGCATTCCGACTGGACCTACAACACCCACCGAATCAACCAATCCTTTAGTAGGCAACCTATCAAGTAAAACAAGCGACGTAACAGAGAAATACGCCTTGGTACATTGGGATAGAGCCATATCAATTTACTTTAGTAAAACTTCAAAGACGTAACAACAGGTGGTAACAAAGTTCAAAGAGCGGAAGCAACGGAGCATGTCCCATTTCAAATCGGCAGCATAATGCATAAAACTAATTTAAGTTTGGAAAAAAAGGACCAAAAAAAAGAGAACAAAGAAAGGAAAAACGGAATTCTGACGTAGAAGGTTAAGCACGGGATTAAATTTTTAGACATCTCTTCAAACTCGTTATCGACTCCAAATGATACCCCATAAATAGAACTAATGTACCACCCAACGTGGTATCTCAACCTTGGTTTGCAAGTGCTCTCCACCCAATGTCTCGACGGCAGAACCCTCCCTGCCAGTTGATGGCTTCAATTGCTTGGTAAGCTCTTTTATGTGCTTCTTCCAAATTTTTCCCCTTGGCAGTGACTCCGAGAACACGACCTCCAGTTGCAACTATATTGCCATCCGAGTCAAACGCTGTTCCCGCATGGAGTATCTTAACAGATGGAGCAACAACTTCTGCTTCTTCAAGATTCCATATCACACTTCCCTTATCATAAGCCCCTGGATAGCCCTTACTTGCCATGACCACCACCATGGCGGATTCAGGGGACCACCTAAGCTTCACACCAGTCACATCTCCCCTACAAGCTGCCAGCATTGCTTGTACCAAATCCGATTCCAACCGAGCCATCAATACCTACATAAAAAGACAGTAAAAGACGGCAATACAACACACTCACAATGTAGGGTTACTAACAAACAATTCAGACCGCATAATAAACCAAGTACAACACTCTAAGGAGACAGCAAAAATCAGTTCCCTTATTCAACTTAACCAACAAGAGATAGTGGCATTGACTTCTCACGCAATTATCCAAATTAAAATAAAACAAACAAGATTTTCTCGTGGCTAGGTGAGATTGGAAGCTGGGTACCGCTTGTTCCTAACTACCCTCAAGCACTTAACATTAATAACGAGAACGTGTTCTAGTATGAATATCACCATGATTGTGAGAAAAGGCAGCATTGTAAATTGATGACTGGCAAGATCCATCAACTGACCTGGCACTCCGGATCCCCAAAGCGCACATTGTACTCAATCAACTTTGGCAACCCAGACTTCTTCTCTATCATGAGCCCGGCATAGAGAACACCAACAAACTTGCAGCCCTCTGCTGCCATCCCTTTGACAGTAGGGAAAATGATAGACTTCATAACCAAAGACTGCAATTCTGGGGTCAAGATTGGTGCTGGAGAGTATGCACCCATTCCGCCAGTATTAGGTCCTATATCACCATCCCCTACTTGTTTATGGTCTTGCGCAGATTCTAGAGCAACTGCATTATCTCCATCTACCAGCGCATGGAAAGAAGCTTCCTCTCCTTCCAAGAACTCCTCGATAACGATTTTGCTCCCAGCAGAACCAAAAATTCCCTTCACAAGCATCGAGTCAACAGCTTCATATGCCTCCTCTAGGGTCATGGCAATAATAACTCCCTTCCCATCAGCCAGTCCATCCGCTTTTATAACAATAGGAGTCCCCTCCTCTTTGATGTACTTCTTTGCTGCAGATGGATCCGTGAATGTTTTATACTGTAAAAAATGGTAAGAAACCTCGTAAGAAACGAAGGCATTCCCATCAACACGTGATCAAATCAATGAGCTAATTCGGCAGAGAGCTCACATGAAAAGTACAACAAAAACTCATCTATAAAGATACTATGATGTCTATGGTGACAAAGTGCAGAAGGGTCTTATATGGTGTCATCTGAAGTCATTATTATCATTTCTAGCATTCTCAATCAAAACGAGTGAAGAAGTTATGCCACATGTCTTAATTGTTATGTTGCGTAACAAAAAATCCCATTTTCAAACCAAAAGAGCAACAACCTTGGCTGTGGGGATGTTGTACTTATCACATAAGTTCTTCATGAAGTTTTTAGAACCCTCCAAAACAGCAGCTTCAGATGAAGGGCCAAAGGCAGGAATTCCAGCCTTAACTAGGTCATCTGCGAGCCCCAGAACAAGAGGCGCCTCTGGTCCAACTACGACAAGTCCAACTCCCCGCTTGCGGCAGAAGGAAATTACGGCCGAGCTATCAAGAATATCAAGGTCTGAAATGCAAGTGGCATCTCTTGAGCTTGAAATGCCCGCATTTCCAGGTGCACATAAGACTGCCTCACATGATGGAGATTGTCGCAAGGCAAAGCAAAGTGCGTGTTCCCTCGCTCCTTCCCCAATGACCAACACAAGCACTCTCTCTTGTGTAAAGTCAACATGTAAAAAGAAAACAATAAATGACAAAATTAATAAAAAAAAAGTCCTAATATTTAGCACCAAAGATACAAAAAGAGGGAGAGGGGGGGGAAGCTGGATACTTTAGCAAACGATGTGCAAATACAGACATTACTCTTGCTAATTTTACGATCCGAATAAATCCCATAGGTATAAAAAAAACTATGAATAAAAAACAGAACAATGTCGCATTTTGTGTGAGGTATTAGTTATTTGAGATATCCGAGAATAGCCGTATCAGCAGGAGAAATAGGAACCAAATGAGCATATTGATTTTAAAACCTCAGGCTCGCCGCTGACAGCAACCCAAACAAACAAGGACGTCAATTGAAAAACCACATTCACAGGGCATCTGTCTGTAAAGGTGGGAAATTTATTAAACAAGACAAGAATATTAGTAGCACATAACTTGCACAATGTCTATTTTTCTAGGGGAATTCTCAACTAGTTTCAACTTGCAATTTAAAAAGCAAAATTTAAAAGTCCACGTGGATACAGGTTGTGGAAGCTCTAGATATGATGCTATTGTATATTATAAGGGTAAATCAATGACAAGCAGGAGCAACTAAAATACATTCAAAAACAGGAGAGACGCAGTTAAAAGTAGAGATACACTGCAGAAAAATGTTTAATATGGAAACCAGGAAACCAAGAGCAACAGCAACAGGAAATAAAAACCACTTACGAGTAGAAATATCATTGCTTGGGAGTGAATCAATGCTGACTGATGGCTCGGATGTTTGATGGACACACTTGAAGATCGACCTAGTATTGCTGATCGGCAAACGTTGAGTACCCTTGAGGTGCAGGGTCGATCTCCAGTGGACAGTTCCAGCATAATAAGAAGTAGTTCTAATACTCGAAAAACCGGGGATGGCGGACCCACAGCTGTGTTTGTTGAAGAGCTTCGTGTAAACTGAAAGACTGGAGGCAGCAGCAGAAGCCATGCTATTGGTTCTCACTTCAAAGGATGCACTTCACTATGGGGGGCTAAAACACTGACCTTTGTCAAAGATTGCGAGTTAAGCCTGAAAGAAAAGGGGAAAAAGAAAAGGTGAATAACTAAAGCTACATGTGCGTGCACGCAATTTTTCACACCTAAAAAACTCCATTGGGACGAATCAATTGTGTTCACAAAGCAAACAATGAATCATGAATCTGAGACGGTAAGCATGGTCCAGTTGGCCGATCCCAGTGATCAAATTGGACTGAACCCAACCAACGGAAGAACAAGCCAGTTGAAGGCCGATTCCTGTAAGGACCTCGAATCTGTGCTCTGTTCTATCTTCTGGATTTGCACCCTTCTCCCTAATTCATCAATTAATGGATACTACTAGAAATTGACCCGGCAAGTTAATGACATAGATTAGCAGCCCACCGTAGAAGCACTTCGAGCACCAAACAATCGATCGCCATCAAACAAGTTCCCTCACCACATCAGACCATAACAATGTTAATGCTCTGAAAAATACGGGAAAATAAAACATTTAGAGATTGAGAGTACTACGACTGAAGCAGACACGGACCGGACGATGAAGGTTCGGCGATGATCGAGACTCGAGACAGTCTACACTCGACAGCAGGGTACTCTTTTTTCTTTTTTTTTTGTCTGAGAAAGTCGGACTGCTTCAAACAATAGGGTTCGTCGCTTCTTGGGATACTATCCTTTTTTTTTCTTTTATTTATTGGATATATATGGGGAAATTCAAATGAGGGCTTGGGCTTATTTTCTAGAAAAAGGGCATAAAATGGAACTTATTTTAAATAAGGAAAAAATTACCAAATCAGTTTTAAATTTATTGCAATTGTGCCAATTCAGTCCTAAACATTTTGTATTTGTGCCAATTCAGTCCATCCGGCCAATTTTGATCGGCTGACCTTTACGTGGACGCCGGCCGGTACCAACGGTCCGAATAACGCTGACATGGTAATTTTTAATTTTTTAAAAATTTTATGTTCGAATTTTTTATTAATTTTTTTCTTTTCTTTTTTCCTTTTTTTATTTTCCTTCCCTTTCTTTTATTTTCTTTCCTTTTATCTTCAACCTCTAGCCAATCGCCAGAACCGGCTAGAGGTTGGGGCCCGTCGAGTTCAAGCCTTGCAAGCGATGGAAAGAGCACATATTTTAACTCCCGGCCTCGAACCGGCTTGCGACGAAGAAACGAGGAAATAAATGCCATCAATCTCAAAGGCAGGAGTTGATAAAATTTACCTTTGAAAATGCACTTTAGTAGCCACAACGAGATAGCCAGGCCATGCTTGCTTGCTTGCTGCATACATAATTGCTCGATATCCTTACGTGACTCGCCACGCTCTGCATAAAGGGATTCATTCCATTAACCGCGATCCCAAATGAGAACGCTATCGATTCCATCAGTTCTCTCGCTTCCTCGTATTGAGTACAGGTAAAAAGAAGTGAGGCGAGCCGGACAGAGATGCGAAAGAATCGATGTAATGAAAATGTGGAGAGCAAAGGCGGCGGCGATTTAGATTTCCAATCCGTTCGATACACCGGAAAGGAACCAAAACTGACGCTGCGATGGACACCACCTTCTCCAACCTCCCAGTACCAGTACCACCGCGAGATTTCTTTCTAACGAGGAAAGGTGAAAATTTTGCGGAGAAAACGTACCAAATTAAGCAAAACGCGAGTCCCCTCGCTAGAAGACGCGCCCGCCCACCCATGTCATAAAAAGCGCGGACCAAATGGAAAAGCCCACACCCAAAACGCGAGACAAACGTATACCGCGCTCGAGCTGCTGGATGCGAAGCAACAGGCCGCTGGGTGCCATCAGAATTTTCAGCCATGGAAAAGGATGGAGCTCGCGGAGACTGAATTGGGCCAAAAAAAAAAAAAAAAACAACCTGCCAATAGGAGTGTCAAAACCAAACACAATATCCGAATCGAAACACGATGGGCTTGGGTACCCAAGCCCAACCCAAACAATAACCAAAATCCTCAAGATCCCTCCTCCTCTCAGGACCTGGCGTCGACTTCTTCTTCCCCGGGTTCCGCCGCGCCGCCGCCGCCGGCAACATCACCCTCAGCAGCGTCGCCGAGATCGACGGCCGCGGCGCCCTCAAGCTCACCAACGAGACGACCTGTTTCTACCCTAGCCAGGCGGCGGAGGATTTCATCCTTCTGCCGGAGACCACGCTGCCCGACCAGATCTCGCGGCCGTCGCGCCGCCGCCTCTGGAAATACCGCATCATCCCCGAGTTCTGCACGGCGAAATCATCGACCGGCGACAACAACGCCGCCGCCGCCGTCTCTGTCCCTGGGAACCACCACCGCAAGCGGTCCTCAGTTGCCGATAGCGCGATTCCGAAGCCGCGAGGTCCAAACCTTCGAGCGCGATGTGGAAGCTGAACCAGTCATTGTTCGGCGGGGAAGAAGGTGGCGGCCAAGATGAGCTCTTGGCTGAAGATTCAGATGGTGTCTGCAATCTCTCTCCTATGCAGGTCGAGTTCGCTCTTTTCCTTCCTCTTTTCGACCGATTCTGCGCATACCCATGTCTTGTTTGATCCTCCCCGTTGATGCCGTTCCTGGGTTTTCTCTCTTTTTTTCCGGGGTGGGTGTGGAGCAGAGAGTCTACGCCTTCGCAGCGTGTCTTCTCGTCGGCCTCGTATGTATGTTCCTGGTAAGATCACGCGCGCCATCTCAGTGGGTTCGATTCAACTGCTCATCGCTGCGTGTCGAAATTCTTGTGCTTTCTGGGTGATTTGCGGTTCGGTCGTTTTGCAAGCCTGCTTTCCATTTTGCCACAATGCTTACTGCTTTTCTGCTTTCTGGGTGATTCGCAGAGCAGAGAGTCTAATTCAGTTTATATGCGAAAGCTCACTTTAACCCTCTCTCTGGTGCTTTCCCTGTGACTAGTCCCAATGCTCGTTCATCGTCCCAATGGCGTCTCTCTATCTCTATCTCTATCTCTGAACTCATTATTTGAAACACAAAATCCGCCCCGACCCGACCCGACATAACCGGCCCGATCGTGTAGCTTTATCTTGTTCATGTCTTGTCTCGGGTCAGGTCGAACACATATGTCCAATATTTGGGTCGGGTTAGGTATCATGAAAATCCGACCCGACCCATTGACACCCCTACCTGCCAAGACAAAGCTCAGTCGAATTCGCATAACACGTGAAGCTTTAGCCAGGAGAATCGGAGGCTTTATCAAAAATCAAAGAGAGAAAAAGGCACAAAGTTCATGGGCTATGATGACATACGCTCTTCTTCCCCGTCTTCTTCTGGGTCAAACGCGTATGCCCGAAATCGAATCATCGAATCACCCCCTGCCTGACTTCCTCCTCAGAGACCGCTTTCTTCCCTAACTTGACGGATCGTATTGAGCGAGGCAGGGGCACGCGCCGCGTCTGTTCTGTACTGTAGCTAGCGGCTTCTGTCTATCGGGATCATCCGCAGATCGCCCGGATTTTTGCTGGTTCTGAGCTTCTCTATTTTCTTTGCTTGCTTTTTTGCTGGCCCAGATGATAGATTCATCCAGCGACGTTCAATGCTGTGTATTCAGGGGTATTCACATACGCTCCTAAGTGATGAAGCTTCGCTGCTATTTTTGAGAGAGAGGTATGGCGTGACTTCTATTGATTGCATCCTCATCGAGGCCTTTACTCCAATCCCAGTTCTACCGGTGCAAATCCGGGTCAGTCCGGTTGTTTTGGGTTTGGCCGGGTTTCGAGTAAAAACGGGGTGGTCAAGGGGTTCCCATCCGGTCTGAGTTTTAAAAACGTCGGTTCCATTTTAGCATTCGCCTGTCTCCCGGGTTTGGTCTTCTTCTTTGTCTAGACCTGCATCAGTCCACAGCAGAGAACATAACTGAATCGGCGTTCCGATCCTGCTTTGCTGATCACGCCTGGGGCTTTTTGCCGAGCTGGCTCTGGATTCGGGGGGCGACGAGAACATCAGAGAACAATGAGGGCTTTGATTGCCTCCTTCTCGGAGTCGGGAATCGGAGAAAAGGGGGATGGATGGAAGTGCCAGACTCCAGAATCGGGAGGGAGACGGGGACTATGCTCAGTGCGGAGACGGTTCTTGATGTTCACGGCGGTGGCCTGGTGTACTTCATGTGTAACTCACTTGAAATCTGTACCGTAACTGAATGTTTTGCGGTGGTTTTGTGATTTTACGTGGGATAAGGATACTTAGAAGTCATAACTTTCGTAAATGGCCACTCGAGCTTACACTGCGTAGTAAAATAGATTATTTGAGTGTCACTTCCGGCGAAAATAGATCACTTGAGTGCCATTTTCCGGCAAATGAGCTGACGTGGATTTTTTAATTAATTTTTCATCCGACATGGATTTTTTTAGTGTTATTTTATTGATTTTTTAAAATTCTTATTTTTCTTTCTTATTTTTCTTTTTTTTTTCAAGGTTCGCGAGGGTCACCGATGACCCTCGCCGGCGGCCGCTTCACCTGCGGCCGCGAAGGCTCTCACTCGCGGCCGCGAACGCCCTTAGCAAGGCCATTGCGGCCTCACCGGCCGCGGGCACGGCGGCGAAGACACTCGCCGGAATTGAAAACTTTTTTTGCTAAAAAAATTAATAATTCAAAAATTCAAAAAAAATATTAAAATATTGTCCACGTCAGCTCCGGCAAAGCCACGTCAGATTTTCTGGCTACCAAGTGGCATTTGGCACTCAAGTGATCACTTTTTCAAATTTTTTACACTCAAGTGAGAAAAAAAAAGTTATGGCACTCAAATGAGCGCCGTACAAAAGTTAAGGCACTTCTAGTGTCCTTATCTCGATTTTACATTGATTTTAGACGAAAACACGGTTTAGATTTCATGGCAAGAGTCAATACCTTCGATGCATATCACGTGTTCGATAAAATGTCTCTGAAAATGACTAAAAATAATATCGGTTTTTGTTCAATCTAAAGGCACATTTTGATGTGATGTGTTTGAGGTTGCTTCTTCCTATATTAAGTCCGATTCTCATGTACAATGAATTGGCTGAGAGCTTATCACAACTTCAATGATGAACTGGTCCTCACTGGCGAGGAAAC